GCAAGGTGCACAAAGGTAGTCTTTTTGTTATTTTTTTGTTTAAGGTGTCTCTGCAACAGCCGGAACAGCCAGAAGAGCTCTTGCTTTTCTGATTATTATCCTTTTAGCTGTTTCGGCAACAGCTAGAACAGCTTTTGTTTGTCTGATTATTTGCTGTTTCGTCAACTCTGCAGAAACAGTCTTGCTTTTCTGATTATTTTTTAGCTGTTTGGTATCAGCCAGAAGAGCTCTTGCTTTTCTGATTAGCTGTTTCAGCAACTCTGCCGAAGCAGGTATTGCTTTTCTGATTTTTTTTTAACTGTTCCGGCTGTTGCGGGAACAGCCAAAATAGCTTTTGCTTTTCTGATTATTAGCCGTTTCGTCAACTCTACCGAAACAGGTATTGTTTTTCTGATTATTAGCTGTTTCGGCAGCAGATTCTTTGGACCATCATCCAAGGACGGTCCTAGAAGAAATTCACAGTGATAATTTAAGTAGTTTATTTATTATTAATTTTTTAAGAATTAATTTTTCCCCATAGACTTTGTACACAGATTGCACACAGTTTTTGGACTGTCCTATATTAGGCTATGAGGGCGCTATTGCAGAATTACGGTTACACATGCCTGGGCTTTCAATTTTCAACAAACTGTCCTATATTGAACCATGTGGATGGCGTTGTTGCATAACGTAGGGTTTGTACACACATTGTCCAGCGTAATGTGCGAGCAGTCCTCAACTTCGACCGAGAATTACTACCAGAACGAAAAAGAAATCAGACTAAATTTTCCTTTCCGTTCGATCGCAAATATACCCAAGTGTGCAAATATTAAATAATATTGCTTACGTTTTGTCCAGTTTAGACAAAAATCACGTGACATGAAATTAAAGGAGTAGTTTTCCTGCACCCGTGTGACACGATGACGTCATTGCCTTATTTTATATTCATTTTTGAATATTTTATATTGTCCCATACGTTTTGTACACGTTTTTCTACTTAATACAAGCGAACGAATAGTCTTTAACTTTGGCGCAAGATTACTATCAGAATGAAAGAGAAATAGGGTACTTTACGCTGTGTTATTTTATTTGAAATATGCCTAAGAGTCGGAATATGAAGTAATATTTCATTAAAAGTGTATAGTTTAAGTGCAAATCACGTGACATAACTTAAAGGAGCAGTGTTTCCGCAAATGAGTTTTTTTGTGCTAGACTTTGATAACCATCAAATATCGGAAAGGTTTTAAAATTGAACCTTGAAAACGTGCACAAAGTGACAGCCAACAAAGACCGTGATACAAAAACTATTGTATGTAAATGACGTCATGATGACTTCATCATGTCATTTATTCTTGATTTTTCAATATTTATTTCATCCTATTGACTTTGTACATGTTTTCAAGCCAGCATTTGGGTTGGTTTGGCTTCTACCACTTTTAAACAATAAGCCTACTTCTGGTTGAAACCGGAAGGAAGGGTCACGTTATTTGACCTACAAAGTCAATGGGCTAGAAGCACGTGTGCAGAAAACTACTCTTTAATTTCATGTCACGTGATTTTTGTCTAAATAGGACAAAACATATGAAATATTATTTAATATTTGCACACTTCGGCATATTGCCGATCGAACGGAAGGGAAAATGTAGTCAGATTTCTTTTTCGTTCCGGTAGTAATTCTCGGTCAAAGTTGAGGACTGCTCACACATTACGCTGGACAATGTGTGTACAAACCCTACGTTATGCAACAACGCCATCCACATGGTTCAATATAGGACAGTTTGTTGAAAATTGAAAGCCCAGGCATGTGCAACCGTAATTCTGTAATAGCGCCCTCATAGCCTAATATAGGACAGTCCCAAAACTGTGTGCAATCTGTGTACAAAGTCTATGGGGAAAATCAATTCTTAAAAAATTAATAATAAATAAACTACTCAAGTTATCACTGTGAATTTCTTCCAGGACCGTCCTTGGATGATGGTCCAAAGGTCTACTGCCGAAGCAGCTAATAATCAGAAAAACAATACCTGTTTCGGTAGAGTTGACGAAACGGCTAATAATCAGAAAAGCAAAAGCTGTTCTGGCTGTTCCGGCAACAGCCGGAACAGTTAAAAAAAATCAGAAAAGCAATACCTGTTTCGGCAGAGTTGCCAAACAGCTAAAAAAAAAAAAAAACAGTAATGCCAAAACAGCTAATTGTAACATCTTTGCTCGTTATTTATCCTATTCAAGTGTTCCGGAAGCGCACCATCAGGGGTCAAATTTCAGGCTCTGTTAAAAGTAGACTTGTCTCTTTTTGCCCAACGGTTTTAGAAAGTGGTTTTGTTTTACCACTTATTTACCCATGCAGTGTTAGGCTCTTTAAGTTGCCCATCAGTCCAATGATTCACCTGTTATTCCGCATAGGGCAAAAGTATGCTTAATAACTCTGGGAAAGAACTGATTAAAATATATCATATCAAACCCTTATTCAAAAGAAAACCGCTTCTGGTCATTGTCTTGAACGTCGACCTGATCCGACACCCCCAACACAAAACCCTCGAAAGGCT